GTTACCTGAGCCACGCGTTGCTATCAGCTGGCATCCTCAAGAGTTGGGAGAAAAGTCGATGGCTTGATATTAGTCTTTATTTGTCTTTTCTACTTAATTATTTCGCCAGCTAGAAGCAAGTAGTAAAGTTGGCGTGACTTCATTAGAATTCTGAATATTAAGATTTAATTAGGGATCACGTTTGTTAATGAAGAGGGAGTAAAAGAGGAGATCAAAATTTCGGATTATTATTTATTTTCAGTTTATAATCTTTCTTTTTAGTTGGGAATTGGAATTAAATTAAGTCAACTTTGTTCTTACCAACTAATAACAACTATCGAATATATAAAATACAAAGAAAACGAGGAAAAGAATTAAAAAGTTTTTGAAAAGCCGGAATACAAAGAAAGAAACAGATATAATGTCGTCGTCAGCTCACACGCTTATATCCGCAAAAAAGAGTGCTTTCTAATATTGCATTAATATAGCCAAAGCAAAATATATTAATACAAAACTATGAGGGGGCACCAAAAAATTGAAGTAAAAATAAAACATATTAACTGAAAAATACGAAATAAAACAAATCAAACAAAAAATTGAAAATAAAAATTCAAGTGAATAATTTACCTCGTAAAACATAACTTGGGAAAGTCAATAATGAAAAAAACTTTTTCACCATTTTTTAAATTATTTGCTTCAATAATTATGTTCATAATATCTATAACAAATACGTTGAAAGTTAGCTTTCAGACTTGTACAATTCGTGAACAATTGCTGTAGAATATTGTGTTACTCTAGGCTTAACTATTTGGCATTTTTCTGAATTAAAGTTCAAATATTCAAATTGGAAAACAATTCCAAAATTCTGTCATTATTTGAAATTGTTTGTATTTATATTTAGTTTATATTTTGTATGAGAAGTCAGTCGAAAGCTAGCTTTCGAATTTTTCAAATTTCAAAAACTTCGTCTGTCGAATAATTTGCTACTAAAAAATACAGCAAACTTCAAATTGAAAAAAAAAAGTTTAAAAATGTAAGCTACAATTTTTCCTCATTTATGAAATCGTTCGCCTCAACAATTAAGTACTTGTTACTCAAGGTGAAATATAGTGATTATGTCTAACCATGTGATTAAAATCAGTTTTAATTGGATACCTGTAAGCAACATCACGCATGTGTGTCGAACCTGATTGGCTTCTGAAGCGAAAAATGATGCAATTTATTTACGATGACGTCACTTGAAGTTATCCTATAGTGTTGATATTTTCTATGAAAAATGCGTCTCAAATTATTTCTCAGATTTTGCTCTAATTATTAATATACATTAATGTATTACTCAAAGCTTGACTCCCTATATCTCATTCTATTCAAAAACAAAAATTTGAAAAAGTTAAATAAAAAATAATTTCAAATTTCACCAACTATATATTCGTTTAATAATTAAAAAATTGGGAACCAATTATATTTATAGTCGCCCTATTTTCTTTTAGAATTTTGAATAATTAGTTATAAAAGTTATCTTTTAGACTTTACACAACTTACAAACTATTTCAACGGAATAGTTTGATATTAAAAATTTTACTCTGTTGGCTTTATTTATTAAAAAAGATTTAAAATAAAAATTAAAAAAACGATTCCAAAACTCCGCCATTTAATTCATTAATTATTTCCATTTAAGATATCGTCTGCTTCTGCAAATGGGATAGAAATAAACTTATGGATTTTTCTTTTTTTTCATGTTAACTTCTACAAAAGCATAAGGAGCGCACATTATGGATTTTTCAATCTCTATTTTACTTTTTTATTATTTTTATTTTTAGGTGTGACAATTATATAATAATCTTTTTTCTTCTGTTCTCCATTTTAGAAACGTAATTTTTAAAACTTTATTTTATTTTATTCGTTCCATTTTAATTTTATGTCTGGCCGGGTTATGTTTTCATTTTAGTTTTGTTTCTATTTGTTTATTCGCATCGGAAAGTGGCCTAAGTTTCGATCGGTAATTAGATGGCAATAAATTTTGCTTGTAAAATTTAGAAAACAATAGTAACGTAATAGTAAATCAATACTTTCTTATTGACTTATAACGTTATGACTTACTAAATCATAATCACATCATAACGTCATAAGTCCATTATAAACACTCGATTTGATTGAAATTCTGCTCGGAGCGGCCAAGAAAAAATTAAAAGTTAGATAGTTACCGGGTTGTCTTTGGTTGTTAGTACATGCTCCAGCTAATCAAAATAATGACAAAATTTTGATTAATTATTTGATTTTTGTTTCATGCCCTGATATAAATTTTGCTTTTTAGAGAGGTTTCTTAGCTTACGATATATTCGACTTTATAACTTCTACAATAATATCACAATAAAATTTTATTTGTAGCAATTGGGAAATAGTATTTATAGCCTTACATTAACTACTTTAGCTAGTCTGTAAATGGTCGGAATTTCTATTGGTGATACATTTAGCATAGGAAATAAGTTCTTCTCGTAGCGGTCAGTTAAAGATTACCAGTCATATAGTTCTAATAGAGATTTGAGTACCCTAGCTAGTAAGAAAGTGGTTGAAATTTCAATCCAAAAATACCACCATCAAACCGCATTATGAACCGCGATGGGAGATAGAGCGTTCGCCTTCCAATGAGGTGAACCGGGGCTCGATCCCGGCGACGGCTGGTCGATACGAATTCCGCATCTGGCTTGAACCAACCGCAATACTGACGTGAAATATCCTCAGTGGTAGACGGATCATGCGTTAGAGTCCCCTTGCCATCAGACTAACCCTGGGAGGTTCTCGTGGTCTTCCTATCCATGCAACGCAAATGCGGGTTAGTTCCATCAAAAAGTCCTCCACGAAGGCAAATTTCTCCCAATGCTTGATCCAGGAGTTCCCTTGTCTTCTGGATTGGGTTCAAAATTACAAGGCTACATTAGTAGTCGTAAGCCCAAAAATTGGATCGGTTGTTCAACGACGGTTATAAAAATGAAAATTAAATAAAATAAATGATTATGTAAAAAGGTTTGCATTCCTACTTTTATTCATTTAATTACATTTAACAAAAGTGTTGAAAAAATATCTTAAATTACATCAGAGATGAGTAAAAATTTTATGAAATGTTATATTTATTTTAAAAAAGTAGAATACAAATTTCATTCTATTTTTATTCCAAAGAATCACAGCAAAGAATCACAGTATTTATACTTTTATCCTATTTTTACCGAAACCTTTCATTAGATGCATCATATAGTGCATTATATTTAGAAACGAAGAAAAAAATTCTGATAATGATTTTATCATTCCTTCGAATCTTATCTTTCATGGTGAGATCGAAATACATGTAGAAGTATGAAAGGTGTCAATTTATTACTCATCAAATATTTATTGTTATCACCTTCTGATAATTGAGTCACTAAGTGCATATTTCACAAAACAGATCACAAGTTCTTAAATTAAATAGCACACTATTTTCACAATAGTTGATTTAAAACAGCATTTTAAAATTTACTTAATACAGTCTATAAATTCATGAAAAATGAAATACATATTTTTTCCTCTCGATGAAGCACGGATTCTAGTAGTGGAGGAAATTTGCTTTCATGGAGGACTTTTTGATGGAACTCAAACGCATTTGCGTTACATGGAGAAGAAAACCCCCCACGGTTAGCCCGACGGCAAAGGAACTCTAAGAGGGGTTCCGTCTACCACTGAGGATATTTTACGTCAGCTTTTTGGTCGGTGCGAGCTGGGTGCGGAATTCGATTCGATCGGAAATCACTTGGATTCGAAACCGAGTCATCTCATTGAGAGGTGAGCGCTCTATCCCCTGACCCCCCACGACTCGAATGACCACATTTGCCGGTGTCATAGGAAATTGATGATATTTAACAAATACATTTTTTTTGAACAATCATTTCAAGTATGCACTGAAAGTTGAGATTTGCTATTGTCAATGAGAAATAATGATATCCTATAAGAATATTATAATTAACATTCACTCAAAGTATGTATTGAATGACAACATTGGCCGTTGTCAATGAGAAATAATGATATCTAATAAAAAATATTGTAGTTAACATTCACTCAAAGTTTATATTGAATGACGACATTTGCTGTTGTAAGTGAGAAATAATGATATCTAATAAAAATATTATATTTAACATTCACTTATAGAAAACACTGAATGACGGCATTTGCCGATGTCAGTGAGACATAATAATATTTAAAAAAATATTTCTGAAATTCACGCAACAGAGACCATGTAAATGTCAACATTCAGAAAATACCAGCATTCATTCAATTCTATCGTTCGCAATATATTCATGTAATGAGTCAGTTAGACGTTACCTCGATTTATTTCGTATGAAAGAAAGTATAAAACAAAAAATAAATAGTATTTATTCAATTTTTCGTTTTTGTAACAATTTTTATAAGATATAAAAATATATTACAGAAAAGTGATAAAACAATTATTAAGCTAATAAGTAGATAAGGTTAGCATGACAGTTCTATCATTAAGCAACCATTTAGTAAAGATATACAAATGTTTCCTTCGTGTAGGGCTAACCGTGAGAGAAGTTTTGTAGTTCCATTCAGCTGTGATACAGTGTTTGTAAAACAATCATCCCCAAAAAAACTTTAATTATATTACTTATCAAAGTCACCTTGTTTTTTTTTTAAAATGATACTATTATTGTTTAAAAGAATTCTTAGGGGGTGTAAATTTATTATAATATGATTTAACTACTTTGATTAAATAAAATAAATTTTAATAAATAAGGAAACCTTAAGAATTTCTCTAATAATAAATGCTTTTTTAATTTCATTCTTACGTATCTTGTGGAAACATGTTTGAAATAAAATTGATTAAGTTTAAGAACCATAATAAATGCATAACTTAAAAAGTGAATTGAGTTATTAGTTATTGAGTTTTAACATAAGCATAAAAAACAATATACCAATAAAAAAACTTAAAATATGTTCTACCACATCATGAAGGGTAAATATTAAAATTCACTTTAATTCTGTTCCAGCTGCAATAAACAAGAAATTAATATGTTAATTTATTCATGAATATATTAGTTTGCTTTAAAAGAAACCAGCTGGCATAAGCTTTTTTTTTTTGTTTTTTGTTTTTTTTTTTTTTTTTNTTTTTTTTTTTTTTTTTTTTTTTTTTTTTTTTTTTTGCTTAAAAAACGTTTACAGCAAAGTTTAAAAAGACCGTCAATTTATTCTGAAACATACTTATTCATCTTACTAACAACTAATTTCCTCTTATAATTGGTTAGCATTAATAAAAAGTAAAATTTTTGTGAAGTAACATCGGTGAACGGTTTAGTTTAGACGCAGATAGATTCTATTAAGCAATCATTAATCATTTTCTGAGAAATCAAATTTTAAAAAAGACATATTGTTAAAATTAAATTTATCAAGATCTATTCGACTGATTTCTTTCTCATTTTGTATTTAGTCAAGCAAAATTATATCCCTTAAAATCTTTCGAAAATTTTTTATCCTGTAATTTGACTGACTTATATGGCGAAATTAATTCTTTTTTTAAAAATTAATCTGAGCAGACTACTTTAAAGAATCCGTGTTGAGGTTTTTTTCTTCCGACTTATAGGAAGCGTTGCCTTAAATCATTGAGTAATAAGCCCTAAATATTTCTTAAGTATCTGATAATTGTAATGATAATGATAACTTGTAAAGTATCTACATTGTCAAACCAAGAACACTGATCAAAATATAAATCACTTCACACGGGGTGAATAAAAATAAAATAAACACTCAATAACTCTGTACTGAGCTACGAAAAAGATCAAAAATGAAAAGCATTTACCAACACAATTAAGAGATTGTTAGAATAACCATTTAAGTGAAATTTTTAGGGGAACTAATGAATCAAAGAAAATAACAAAAAGTGGTTGCATCAATATGGCTTTGTATAATGTAACAAAACTGTTTTTGCCTTTAATCTTAACATAACGAAAATACATCAGTTTTTAGTATGCATGATTGATTTTTATTTCAAATTTAAAGCACGAAATTNTTTTTTTTTTTTTTTTTTTTTTTTTTTTTTTTTTTTTTTTTTTTTTTTTTTTTTTTTTGCTTAAAAAACGTTTACAGCAAAGTTTAAAAAGACCCTCAATTTATTCTGAAATATACTTATTCATCTTACTAACAACTAATTTCCTCATATAATTGGTTAGCATAAATAAAGAGTAAAATGTTTGTGAAGTAACATCGGTGAACGGTTTAGTTTAGACGCAGATAGGTTCTATTAAGCAATCATTCATCATTTTCTGAGAAATCAAATTTAAAAAAAGACGTATTGTTAAGATTAAATTTATCAAGATCTATTCGACTGATTTCTTTCTCATTTTGTATTTAGTCATGCAAAATTATATCCCTTAAAGTCTTGAAAAAATTTTATATCTTGTAATTTGACTGACTTATATGAAAAAATTAATTCTTTTTTTAAAAATTAATCTGAGCAGACTATTTTAAAGAATCCGTGTTGAGGTTTTTTTCTTACAACTTATAGGAAGCGTTGCCTCAAATCATTGAGTAATAAGCCCTAAATATTTCTTAAGTATCTGATAATTGTAATGATAATGATAACTTGTAAAGTATCTACATTGTCAAACCAAGAACACTGATCAAAATATAAATCACTTCACACGGGGTGAATAAAAATAAAATAAAGACTCAATAACTCTGTACTGAGCTACGAAAAAGCTCAAAACTGAAAAACATTTACCAACAGAATTAAGAGATTGTTAGAATAACCAGGTAAGTGAAATTTTTAGGGGAACTAATGAATCAGAGAAAATAACTAAAAGTGGTTGCATCAATATGGCTTTGTATAATGTAACAAAACTGTTTTTGCCTTTAATCTTAACATAACGAAAATACATCAGTTTTTAGTATGCATGATTGATTTTTATTTCAAATTTAAAGCACGAAATTATTAGTCCTACCTTCTAATAAATTGGCGATGAAATAGTTCGGATAAAACTTTTTTTTTGTTTTGAAAATGTCACTTACCTTGTTCTTCCACCAAATTTTTCAATTAATATAGCCAAAATAATTTCAATTTTTTCTTATTTAATATTATTTCTTGCCGTTTTCGGTGGGTTTACGTTATTGAAGTAAGCATATTTAATATCCTTAATTGCATTTTTTATCATATGCTTCTTCTTATATGACAAAAGGGAATAATTTTGAATTCTTTATAGAAAATATAAATCAACAATTGAAAAAAAAATATTTGGAAAATGTTTTTTAATGATTTAGTTGCTTTTAATTTTGCTCTTAAAATACTATTTAATCTCTTATTTTAAGAAAACCAACAAAAAAGCCTGGTTTAAATTCAAAAAAACAAACAAACTAGATTTGTTTTTCTTGTTTTTTAAATAAAAAAAACTTTAATCTTGGACCATACTATACGGACCTTGACAGCAACATTAGAGCACGGCGAATCTTAAATGACTAATTTAAAACAAGTTTGAAAATAGAATTTATTGCACAATTCAAGCTAACATGCATTAATTAAATAATTGAAATATTTGTGCAGAAGCAACAAACGTTAACGATAAAAATACATTTATTCAATTTTGTTTTAAGGTGATTACAGTACAATGGTCAGATATTCTACATTCAAACCATCTTTAAACAGCAAAATATATCTTAAGATATCACATTACGTTTTAAGTTGTTTTTACACTTCTTTCTTTTTTGTTGTAAAAATAGAGAAGCGTTTTACAGCAGATATTACGCTAAACTATTAAGAAATTAAGACGATGATCTCTCTGCTTACATCAAAGCTATATTAGTCCCTGGCTTACATCTTTGGCTTTACTAAGCATCATAAGCAATCCTTGAGTATACGCAGTCATTCTAGCAGTTGAAAGGTCTGTAATATCGTCAGACAAATTCATCTGCGGCTGTACTTGTGATTGAAGGTTTACGAGGCATTTTGATTCATCTGTTGGAAACAGGTTAGTTGTTCTTTAAGGACTCTTTTGCTCTTTGATTAATAACCATATGTTGTTCCTTTTTTGTCATTTTGACATTTTTTTCTATTTAGCAAGAAGAACTTTCCATTGGAGATTATTTTGGGGAAATCTCTTTCCTATTCTATTTAAGGTACACGAGGCGTTTTACTTCATCTGATGGAAAATGTTCAGTTATTCACTGAGGACTCTTTAGTGCTTTTATTACGTATTGTAATTTTTGGTTCTTTTTGACATTTGTTTTTTATTTAGTAGCAAGAACCTTCCTTCGGGAATTATTTTAGTGACTTCTTTATCTGATTTCTTAGATGAGATCTGTTTAACATCGAGTTGATTTAAGTCACAGTGTATGGAAGTCAAGACAATTGCTCGCATTCAGTTGTATGGTCTGTTTTCGTTTTTAAATCCAAACTATTTAAAATTAAATCGAATTATTTTATTTTTGCAAGCAATTAGCTTTGTTCGTAACCAGTTCATAAATTTATCTACTCGACTCGTGTTGCTATTAGTTGTAATGTTCTCAGATAAAGGATCCTCAATTTTTATTGCTTTCAAACTGTTTGAAGTTTGTGCACTCTTAGATATAGCTGCCTTTTTCAAGACAGGCGTTATCTTTTTCTCAACTTTCGAGTCAATTTCCTCATACACTTCTAATTCCCGAACCTCGTGTTCCAATGCCGCATTTTTGCGCTTTAACATCTGAAATTTCTCATTTAAGTCTACACATACCTTGGTGCGCCTGCAATTCTTACATTTATTTCGTTGTTGTTTTTCAGATGCTTCTTCCAAAAAAAGATGTTGGCTTTTTTTGGAAGCAGTACCTTCAAACTTTCATCAGCAAGGCGTTTTATACCTCGATTCCTATTCACATAACTCTCATGACTTTCTTCACAGTCATGACTACAAAAAATGCCCCATTTTTGACGAGGCTCTGCTCCGATCTGACTACCATCCTCAAGGAAGCAGTGGTCAGCTGCTTTTGCAGCATTCCATCTCTGTCTTCGATCAGGCATCAAAAAGATATGAATGAAATTCAAAGCAAATTTAATTTGCTTGTCTGAGATGCCCCACACAGAGCGCACGCAACGCTTGAAATTATTTTCCTGCAAAGAAAAAAAAATACCATTAATATTTTTAAATATGAATGATGTCTCAAAAACTTAAAATTAAATTTCTTTAACTTTATTACACAACTCCTGATGTTTCTCAAAGCATAACACGAGGTTTACAGATGTAAGTAGGCAGAGTAAAATTTTAAATTAAAATAAGCAGGTCAGAATTAAAAATTTAAGTTGTAAACAAAATTATGTGAAATATTTAGGTTTTCAGTGCATTTAACAAATAAGGTCAAAGCAGAAGGTCAAGAAATACCAGAGTGCCTAAGTTCCTTTTCTAAGCTTTCTCTTTGATGTGAATATAAAATACACTTATTTTGTTCTACAGTTACAACATCCTTGACCTCAAGAATAAAATTTACAATTCACAAAATTAAACCTAAGCAAGTAGGTGTAAAATTATATTTGAACTATTTAAATTTCCTTTGAACATCTCAAGTAGTATTTCAGGCTTTCTCATTAGACAATGCTAAGCGTTAAGAGAAAATTTAAAAATTGTCCGAATTTTTGTAAGATTATTTGTAGCTTTTTAACTTTATGTGCACTCGTCACCATATAATTTTTATGGCAATGAGTTGAGTTAAAAAGCTACAAACAATTAAGAAATTGCAGTGAAAAACGGTTCACCTAGAAAGAGTCGTCAGAATGCAACGAAATTTTACATACGTAACTACAATATTGATATGAGTGATTAAAAAAAATCAAAAAGGAGCAATTTCTTAATAGAAAAATATACAAAAGAATGGAGGGTTTATTACCCTTTTTTCCAGCCACCTCTAGAGTGAATGTAAGATGCGANTACGCTTGAAATTATTTTCTTACAAAGAAAAAAAATACCATTAATAGTTTCAATTATGAATGCTGATTCAAAAACTTCAAATTAAATTTCCTTAACTTAACTTTATTACACAACTCCTGATGCTCCTCAAAGCATAACACGAGTAGGCAGAGTACAATTTTAAATTAAAAGAAACAGGTCAGAATTAAAAATTTAAGTTGTAAACAAAATTATGTGAAATATTTAGGTTTTCAGTGCATTTAACGAACAAGGTCAAAGCAGAAGATCAAGAAATACCAGAGTACCTAAGTTCCTTTTCTAAGCTTTCTCTTTGACGTGAATATAAAATACTATTTTGTTCTACAGTTACAACATCCTTGACCTCAAGAATAAAATTTACAATTCACAAAATTAAACCTAATCAAGTAGGTGTAAAATTATATTTGAACTATTTAAATTTCCTTTGAACATCTCAACTAGTATTTCAGGCTTTCTCATTAGACAATGCTAAGTGTTAAAAGAAAATTTAGAAATTGTCTGAATTTTTGTAAAATTATTTGTAACTTTTCAACTTTATGTGCACTCGTCACCATATAATTTTTTATGGCAATGATTTGAGTTAAAAAGCTACAAATAATTAAGAAATTGCAGTGAAAAACGGTTCACCTAGAAAGAGTCGTCAGAATGCAGCGAAATTTTACATACGTAACTACAATATTGATATGAGTGATTAAAAAAAATCAAAAAGGAGCAATTTCTTAATAGAAAAATATACAAAAGAATGGAGGGTTTATCACCCTTTTTTCCAGCCACCTCTAGAGTGAATGTAAGATGCGATGCGGTGGGGCATTGAGAGATGTAAGTTCTTTATAATATCCTACTGCATCTCGTTCCACAGTTGCTGTCAAGACACCGCTCAACTGACTAAACTTGGAGGATGTCCAACTTGCCAAATGATCCCAGGTATGCTCGTTCGGCTACAAATCTGGGGATCAAGCAAGCCAGGAAAGGAAAGAAATATAGAGGAGACATTCCTGTGACAACCTTTCTGTGTGTGACTGAGAATTGTTTTTATTTTATAACCACCGTGGATGATTTCTTGATGGAACTAACCCACATTTGCGTAGGTATATAGGAAAACCACTAAAACATCCATGAGATCCATGGTATCTCTAAACCATGACCCGTCTATCAGTGAGGATATTTTACGTCATCACCGTGGTCATTGCAAGCCGGATGCGGAAGTCGTAGCGACAAACCATCGCCGTGATTCACACCCGATTCATCTCATTGGGAGGCGAGTTCTCTATCCCCTGAGCTACCATGACTCAGCAGCGTCTTATTAAAAGAAACTCTTAGGAACTTAGCTATAATGGGCAGCACATAAGACTGAAGGGTATCACGAACTTACCACTGGGCTGTCACTGCACCGTAGATCAATATTAGGATGGACATTGTGTCGTATGCATTAGCACCCCATTAAAATATCGTATACGAAAATATTTAAGGTTATTATTTCGAACAATATTAGGATTGCGTGGAAACTAAGATATTAAATCAGAAATCATTTCTTCTTTATTTATACGCACAGAGCATTCGTTTGAAAGAATTATCATAATTTATTTCTCTAAATCAATGTTTCTTAACCTTTTTTCACAATGGACCCTTTTTAAAATTTTTTAAGGAGTCACGGACCCCCTCCCCCTCCCTGGGAAAAAATAATTGTGAAAACAACATCAATTATTAGAAAACATTTAATTTTATTATTTTAAGAGCACAAAATTTTTAAAATTAAAATTTTTAATGTGAAGGTTGTTGCTACTGTTCCTTAATTAATAAATTGAACTGAGGGATAGTTTTCGACAAAGCAACGCGCATATCATGTTCAACATTCAATCACAAGTTTTTATTGTCACAAGTGTGGAAAATCCGGCTTCGTTAAGATACACTGTAGCTAACGGAATTATAGTTGCCATAGCTCGCTTTACAAGCAATTAGTAGGCTTCTCTCACAAAAGACCAGAACTCTCCGAGTGTTTTTGAATCGAAATCCATTTTTAGCTAGAACTTTGTTCTAAGATCAATAAGCTCATCTTTAGCAAGGTTTATATCATCGATACAGTCAATATCACAAAGAAAAGGATTACGAATCCCCAACTCATCTTTTATATTTATCTCATCCAAAATAAAATATTTTTTACAGGAAACTTGAGGTACCTCCAGGTGTTCAGATTCCATTTTTTAAGTTATT